TTGGTTTTCATCATAGTAGGCTATTTTCAAAAAAAATATCGATTTTATATCTTTATTTGCATTCTTCATCATTTATAGTGCCTATTTATGATTTAAAATGCAATTTAAAACATTTTTGGTTTCCATCATAGTAGGCTATTTTCAAAAAAAAAATCGATTTTACATCTATATTTGCATTCTTCATCATTTATAATGCCTATTTATGATTTAAAATGCAATTTAAAACATTTTTGGTTTTCATCGTAGTAGGCTATTTTCAAAAATAATATCGATTTTACATCTATATTTGCATTCCTTATCATTTATAATGCCTATTTATGTTTCAAAATGCAATTTAAAACATTTTTGGTTTTCATCATAGTATTTTCCTAGGCTATTTTCAAAAAAATATCGATTTTATATCTATATTTGCATTCTTCATCATTTATAATGCCTATTTATGTTTCAAAATGCAATTTAAAGCATTTTTGGTTTTCATCATAGTATTTTCCTAGGCTATTTTCAAAAAAATATCGATTTTATATCTATATTTGCATTCTTCATCATTTATAATACCTATTTATGTTTTGAAATGCAATTTAAAGCATTTTTGGTTTTCATCATAGTAGGCTATTTTCAAAAAAAATATCGATTTTATATCTTTATTTGCATTCTTCATCATTTATAATACCTATTTATATTTTGAAATGCAATTTAAAGCATTTTTGGTTTTCATCATAGTAGGCTATTTTCAAAAAAATATCGATTTTATATCTATATTTTCATTCTTTATCATTTATAATACCTATTTATGTTTTGAAATGCAATTTAAAGCATTTTTGGTTTTCATCATAGTAGGCTATTTTCAAAAAAAATATCGATTTTATATCTATATTTGCATTCTTTATCATTTATAATGCCTAGATATGTTTTAAAATGCAATTTAAAGCATTTTTGGTTTTCATCATAGTAGGCTATTTTCAAAAAAAAAATCGATTTTATATCTATATTTGCATTCTTTATCATTTATAATGCCTAGATATGTTTTAAAATGCAATTTAAAGCATTTTTGGTTTTCATCATAGTAGGCTATTTTCAAAAAAAAAATCGATTTTACATCTATATTTGCATTTTTTATCATTTATAATGCCTATTTATGTTTTAAAATGCAATTTAAAACATTTTTGGTTTTCATCATAGTAGGCTATTTTCAAAAAAATATCGATTTTATATCTATATTTGCATTCTTTATCATTTATAATGCCTATTTATGTTTTAAAATGCAATTTAAAACATTTTTGGTTTTCATCATAGTAGGCTATTTTCAAAAAAATATCGATTTTATATCTATATTTGCATTCTTTATCATTTATAATGCCTAGATATGTTTTAAAATGCAATTTAAAGCATTTTTGGTTTTCATCATAGTAGGCTATTTTCAAAAAAAAAATCGATTTTACATCTATATTTGCATTCTTTATCATTTATAATGCCTATTTATGTTTCAAAATGCAATTTAAAGCATTTTTGGTTTTCATCATAGTATTTTCCTAGGTTTTTTTCAAAAAAATATCGATTTTATATCTATATTTGCATTCTTCATCATTTATAATACCTATTTATGTTTTGAAATGCAATTTAAAGCATTTTTGGTTTTCATCATAGTAGGCTATTTTCAAAAAAAATATCGATTTTATATCTTTATTTGCATTCTTCATCATTTATAATACCTATTTATATTTTGAAATGCAATTTAAAGCATTTTTGGTTTTCATCATAGTAGGCTATTTTCAAAAAAATATCGATTTTATATCTATATTATCATTTTTTATCATTTATAATGCCTAGATATGTTTTGAAATGCAATTTAAAGCATTTTTGGTTTTCATCATAGTAGGCTATTTTCAAAAAAAAAATCGATTTTACATCTATATTTGCATTTTTTATCATTTATAATACCTATTTATGTTTTGAAATGCAATTTAAAGCATTTTTGGTTTTCATCATAGTAGGCTATTTTCAAAAAAAATATCGATTTTATATCTTTATTTGCATTCTTCATCATTTATAGTGCCTATTTATGATTTAAAATGCAATTTAAAACATTTTTGGTTTCCATCATAGTAGGCTATTTTCAAAAAAAAAATCGATTTTACATCTATATTTGCATTCTTCATCATTTATAATGCCTATTTATGATTTAAAATGCAATTTAAAACATTTTTGGTTTTCATCGTAGTAGGCTATTTTCAAAAATAATATCGATTTTACATCTATATTTGCATTCCTTATCATTTATAATGCCTATTTATGTTTCAAAATGCAATTTAAAACATTTTTGGTTTTCATCTTAGTATTTTCCTAGGCTATTTTCAAAAAAATATCGATTTTATATCTATATTTGCATTCTTCATCATTTATAATGCCTATTTATGTTTCAAAATGCAATTTAAAGCATTTTTGGTTTTCATCATAGTATTTTCCTAGGCTATTTTCAAAAAAATATCGATTTTATATCTATATTTGCATTCTTCATCATTTATAATACCTATTTATGTTTTGAAATGCAATTTAAAGCATTTTTGGTTTTCATCATAGTAGGCTATTTTCAAAAAAAATATCGATTTTATATCTTTATTTGCATTCTTCATCATTTATAATACCTATTTATATTTTGAAATGCAATTTAAAGCATTTTTGGTTTTCATCATAGTCAAAAAAATATCGATTTTATATCTATATTTGCATTCTTTATCATTTATAATGCCTATTTATGATTTAAAATGCAATTTAAAGCATTTTTGGTTTTCATCATAGTAGGCTATTTTAAAAAAAAAATATCGATTTTATATCTATATTTGCATTCTTCATCATTTATAATGCCTATTTATGATTTAAAATGCAATTTAAAGCATTTTTAGTTTTCATCATAGTAGGCTATTTTCAAAAAAAAATCGATTTTACATCTATATTTGCATTCTTTATCATTTATAATGCCTATTTATGATTTAAAATGCAATTTAAAGCATTTTTGGTTTTCATCATAGTAGGCTATTTTCAAAAAAAAATTGATTTTACATCTATATTTGCATTCTTTATCATTTATAATGCCTATTTATGTTTTAAAATGCAATTTAAAGCATTTTTGGTTTTCATCATAGTAGGCTATTTTCAAAAAAAAATCGATTTTACATCTATATTTGCATTCTTTATCATTTATAATGCCTATTTATGTTTTAAAATGCAATTTAAAGCATTTTTGGTTTTCATCATAGTAGGCTATTTTCAAAAAAAAATCGATTTTACATCTATATTTGCATTCTTTATCATTTATAATGCCTATTTATGTTTTAAAATGCAATTTTAAACATTTTTGGTTTTCATCATAGTAGGCTATTTTCAAAAAAATATCGATTTTATATCTATATTTGCATTCTTTATCATTTATAATGCCTATTTATGTTTTGAAATGCAATTTAAAGCATTTTTGGTTTTCATCATAGTAGGCTATTTTCAAAAAAAATATCGATTTTATATCTTTATTTGCATTCTTCATCATTTATAATACCTATTTATATTTTGAAATGCAATTTAAAGCATTTTTGGTTTTCATCATAGTAGGCTATTTTCAAAAAAATATCGATTTTATATCTTTATTAGCATTCTTTATCATTTATAATACCTATTTATATTTTGAAATGCAATTTTAAACATTTTTGGTTTTCATCATAGTAGGCTATTTTCAAAAAAATATCGATTTTATATCTATATTTGCATTCTTTATCATTTATAATGCCTATTTATGTTTTGAAATGCAATTTAAAGCATTTTTGGTTTTCATCATAGTAGGCTATTTTCAAAAAAATATCGATTTTATATCTTTATTAGCATTCTTTATCATTTATAATACCTATTTATATTTTGAAATGCAATTTAAAGCATTTTTGGTTTTCATCATAGTAGGCTATTTTCAAAAAAATATCGATTTTATATCTTTATTAGCATTCTTTATCATTTATAATACCTAGATTTGTTTTGGAAAGCAATTTAAAGCATTTTTGATTTCGATCATAGTCAAGGACTATGGATAGTTGATGAAAATTCGAACTCGAATTTTCATCAACTTTCTTGGTCAGAGAATTTTCGCTGCAAAACTTTGAAATTTTTTTTGTTTTATGGTTTTTACAATTTCAAATGCATTTGTAAAGTTTAAAAACTACTAAAATATATTATATACAAGTGGTTTTAGTTTTGTAAGGCTGTAAAAAGGTTTTTTTGATTGATTCAAATTTTATCTTCCAATTTTTGTAAACATACAAGTTTGTTTACAATTTATGAGTAAATTTTTCAATTGCAATTTTTTCATCTATTTGAAGCATAATTTATGCTACGACAGTTGCAAATCATTTATTTTCACTGAACAATTACAGCAACATGCTTAAACAGAACCAAAAATGACTTAAAATAGGAAATTTTGAGAATTTATGAAAACATTCATTTTCGAATTTTCGTAAACAACATCGAAAAAAATATGGGAAAGTTCAAAATATTTATAGTTTAACTGACAGCGTGCTATCCATAGTCCTTGGAGAAAGTCTTATTGATCAGCTGTGCTTTCGCACAGCATAAGTGTAAACTAGACTCTTACCATAGAAAGTCGTATAACGTATTTTTTGTGATTCAAACTTTAAACGGCCTTTTGAAATTGAAAATTGTTGAAAGTTGTGAATATGTTGTGTAAAAATAAGCTAAGCCTTAAACAGTAGAAAATTTAATTTTTATTTTAAATATTATTTGTGTACTTCTAATTAAGCATTTTTGAGTTTCCAAAATGCTTGATTATTGTATTGTCATCGGAAAGATAAGTGCATGCAAAATTTCAGCTCGATTAGAGCTGTAGAAGTGGTCGAAAAATTGATCGCAAGATTTGACCAAAACAAATAGAAAGCAAGTTAAGAAAAGCGTGCAAAAAACGTAGTAATAATAATAATAAAACTAGTTTATTTTGAAAAAAAGCGCGTAATAATAAAAAGAATTTCACGAAATAATTAATTAAATCGTAAGCAATTGAAACTCAAGACACATCAGGTGGGTTGACTACACTTTATACCATAGCATCAAATTCAAACATTACTGAATCCTTTGCTAATTACAAAGAAAGAAATGCTACGAAAGAAATTAAAACTTGCCGAAAAACAAGATGTTACAGAAACAAAAGATTTAGAGATTCCAGAAGCAAATGTCGTCCAAACTGTGTCGATTACATTTGAAATGATGTTTTGGGAAAAGATCTGGCGACTTGAGCAGCAATTGTGTAAGTTTAAGCTCATTTTGAAAAGATCCAGTAAGGATCCAATTAGTCTTTGATATTTTTTACTTTATCAAGCTTTATTTGATTCTTACCAATTCGATTAAAATTCTTATAGGCGAAGAATTAAATCAAATAGAATTCAGCAAGTCTGATAAGAATATCGGAGCAATTTACAACAGTTTGGATTATGCTGCAGACGTCCATAAGAATTATTTGAAGCAGTATCTGAAGAAGTCTCCGAAAGTATTATTCTTGGGAATGAACCCAGGATTAAATGGAATGGGCCAGACTGGAGTTCCTTTTGGTCACGTTGCAACTGTAAAAAATTGGATGAGATTGTCTGGTCATGTTGGAAAGCCTGAAATTGAGATTCCTTCGAAGCAAGTTGAAGGATTTGATGTAAGTTACAATATTCAAGTGCATTCTCAATTAACAAAATTGTAAAATGACATTTTAGTGCACTAAGGAAGAACCGAGTGGAAAGAGATTCTGGGGATTGATTCAAGAGCTTTGTGGACAACCTGAAAACTTTTTCAATAACTGCTTTGTTCACAACATTTGTCCCTTTGCATTTTTACATGCTGCTGGACGAAATATAACTCCAACGGAAATTAAGGTACACTTCCTATTAATTTATGCTATTTTTCAATAATTATAAATCACTTTTAGGGACCAGCAAAAGCTCAGCTAAATTCAGTCTGCTTAAAATATTTGGCACAATCCATTGAAGTCTTCAATCCACAAATAATAATCAGTATTGGCAGCTACGCTAATGATCGCATCAAAGATCTCAAAAAGAAGAATCTTATTTCAGAATTGATTGAGTGCAAGCTTTTAGCACATCCAAGTCCAAGAGCATTAAACAATCACGACTGGGTCGACAAAGCCCGCAAATGGTATCAAGAAAATGACATTATTAAGTATTTCAACAATTGAACGGCAAAATTGTTTGATTAGCGGAACCAGCGCTATAAAATTTACGTACCTGTTAAAATGTTCAGTATTTAAAAGAACATTCATCACAAGTAAGTTATAAGATTATATTTTAAGTTTATAGCATATTCCATAACTGATACATGACTCGAAAAAAAATTAAGTGAAACTAAACGTTTTGCAGCCATAATTTGATCGCTCTGATTTCAGATGCTCTTTATAAAGCACGTCTAATATTTTAAAATTAACGATAATTTTGAATTCAAATTTTTTGTCGAGTTCAAATATTTTTGGTAAAGTTTAAAATTTTTAAATCTGAAATTTCGGTTGAAATTGCAAATTTTTTGGACATCATTTATTAACGAACCCTCAAAAAAAAGTCATTGAAAAACCTTTTTATAGTAAAATTAGCAATTAACATTGATTTATTAATGTCTCATAAATTAGTCGACATGTTACATTTCATTTCCATATTTTGATGTTAGTACAAAAAGTTTTTTTTTTATTTCTATCTCAATGTCGTGATTAAAAATGGACAGACACGTATGAAAAAAAGTTATGATATTTAATCATTTTATGGAGGAATTATAAAGTAGTAAAACTAATCTTTTTTTTATTAATATTAACGTCATGTTTATATCCTTTTATGTGCCTCTCGATCCCACTTGCTCTTTTCCCTTGTCGCACTTTTGCTCCTAAATTTACGTCTGTTCTCAATGTCCTAAAATAAATTTAATTTACAAATTCCTGTATAAAGCTCATAATTAGTTAAATAAACGATTATTTGTGAGATTAAGAATAAAATGATGATGACATATAGAGCAGATGTGTGAGCTTATGAAAAGTGACTCGCTGAAGCAAAGCGAAGAATAGTCAATATTGATGATTTAAATGATTTAATTGATGTTCTGTGATAATAAAAATTAAAGAGAAGAAATATAGGAAGAGATTTAGAATTAGAAATATTATGATTAGATTGCTGAAAAATGAAGGGTGATTAGGTTTGCAGTTTTTGCTTTATAATATGCGTGATTTCCTTGCTTTGAGTTTCAAGTTTTAACGGTTTTCTCGAATTTAAATTTTAGAGGTTTTTTAAATTCAAATTTTAACGTATTTTTTTAAATTGAATTTCCGAAGTTCAAATTTTGGAAATCACGAAATCACTCTCATCATAAAACACAACTTTAAAGTCCATCCATAAATTAATAAATAAAACAGTAACTCAAGGTCAATGCCAACAATAAATATCAAGTGCAATGTAAAAAAAAAAAACATTAGTTTCGCAAAAATGCACAGCAGAAACTCATTAATAAGAAATTTGATAGCTGTTAAGCATGAGAACTAGTAGTAAGAACTACCTACCTTTTGATCGTTACTGTAGTTGATCTCATATCCATCACTTATGAACCTAAAAAGTCAAAATCATTAAGTCATTCGTAAAAAATCACATGGCATAAGTTACTTCGGTTTCCAAGGCGCATCCACATTAAGTGAACTATTGACGGTCCTAATAATTGGTTGTTCCTCATTATAAGCTGTTCTTACGCTACTTTTACCCGAAAGTTTGCGTCCATATGTCTGTGGAATATCACCAACGACACTCGCATGAAGATACACAACACTACGCTGACTTGCATCGCTATCAAAACGATCACGACCGAGATTTTCACGGCTACAAAAAAAGTTGGAATAGCAAAAAATTCATTTAAATATTTTAATTAAATTATTACCTGACTGATAAACTATTACGAAGCCTTCGTGATGTAGAAAAATTGGAATCAGATTCAAGATTACTGTCTCTTTTATATTGTGGATAATATGAGTCATGCTCAACAACTTCATGTCCAAGAGATTTTCGTGGTAGTGGACGAGGAAGCGTTGAGACTGATCTAACAAGTTTCGTAGATTTTGGTGGTCTTGGAGGAGGAAGGTAGTTGTTTATTGCTGGCGATACTGGACGACTGTTGACTGGCTTCTCACCTGCTTCATCGGATGTACTTTCAGCAATATTGATGAGCTCAGCACGTGATCGAGAGACCTAAGATTAATTGATATAAAAGTAATTTGTAAAGGAAGTGATTATATGGATTTTACCGATTTAGACTGTCTCGTTCGTCGAGCTGAATTCAAGTTCTGAAGAGATGAGCTCTTCTCTCGTGCATCATCATAATGGGTTGGAGATTTAATCCTAAAACAAAAGTCATAAGCTCTAAATAATCCTCTTAAAATCAATTACAAGTCTTACTTATTGCCTGCATCATCCAAATCAGTGTCACCAAAGAATCGCAGATTCTTACTCGATCCATTTGACAATGAAATATTTTTCATACTCGACGACTTTGCACGTGTTATGGTCGACGAATTTGAATTTGAGCGACGATCAATTGTTGGGGGATTCGAAGATAAATCCTAAAATAGATGTGAAGATCATATATAAAAAAATATATCCATACTTAATCCATCATTGACCTACTCGACTCTTCTTTCTTGACAAACGATCCAATGATGCAAACCAATTAAATTTCTGAGGATTTCCATTTGTGCTTTGTTGTTTCTCTCGTTTTAATGTACTTGTGGATGTAGCTGTTGATGCTATTGCACTATTCTTATTCACTACTTTTGGCGGTAATGACTTTGAGCGACTTGATGTCATGGGACTAGCTGTGGGTGTACTTAGACGTCTTCGATTAACTATGCTTGGTTGCTGCGGAATTGACTTCTGAGGTGGTGGCTCAATATCCGGTGAATATTCACGGTATCGTGCCCTCAATTCATTCTCGTCATTGTTCTTATTACTTCTCAACTTGAACAATTCTTTGACCTTATCCAATCCACTCTTCTTTTTCGTTTGTGTCTTTATAAATTCTCTTGTCATTTTCTTGTTGTGCTTCCACTCCTTTAAAATATTCTTTTTATCTTGATCGGTGTCGTAATTATCGTCATTATTGCTGCTTTGTCTATAAACGTAAGTGCGAACAAGTTGATAAGGATAAGTTTCGTCGGTGTGCTTCCTTTCTTTCATTAGAAATAGCTCGCATTCGATTATGTCATCCTCATAGTTCCATTTACGACTGTGGAAAGGAAATAAAATGCAAACATATGTTCTGATTAGCGGCTTTTTATAGTGGGAATGTTAGTCTGTGGAGGTGAATTATGGGAATTTTTTGACTTTAATGATCAGTAAAAATGGTTGGAATTTTTTAATGAATGATTGAGATTTAAATTTTTAACTATCAACTTAAATTTGAATTTTCAACAGTCATTTAAAATTTGAAATTTTTGAACTTCAGTATTTTTTTAACTTTATGGAAAAAACTTTGAATTTTAAAAAGTCGTTAAAATATTAGAACATTATCAGAATTTACAGATCACTCTTGGATTAATTGTTCGGTCCAGGTTGATTAATAATTAATCTAAGCTAGACTTATTCAATTTTGGACAAATAAATTAAGACCAACACATTATTCAGTCTCAAAAATTTGTCAAAAGAATTCTTTACAACCAGATTACAGTTAGCTACAGAATTTCACACATCCAGTCAGCAAAGAAATCCATTTAAAGTGAATAAACAAGCGCATATGTTCAAGCAAAAATGCTATAAAATTTAAAACAATGAAAGATAAAGGCGTGCAATGCATACCCAATATTAAATCTGGAACTATATCGATTCTTGTTGTGACTATTATTATGCTTAACGACAATGTCCGTCTCATTTCCTGAATCTGTGTATTTATCAATCAACTTTTGACTATGATGAGAATTTTTCCTCATTGATCCCTCATCCAAATACGTCGTTGTCGTGTTGGATGCTTTCTGCTGCTCATACTTGACTCTCGTCGGCGATGACGCTTTATTAAAATCAAGATGTTTTCGTTCAGGCGAAAAGCGATTATTAATAAATTCATTTGAGCCATGTTTGTTATATGTTCGCTTGTGGATTGTAGGTGGATTTGAGCGTGTGTGATTATTGTCATTGTTGATGTGAAGGCCGCCTATTCTTGATTTTATGCGAGATTCCAAGATCTCACGACGACTACTCAATGTGGCATCGATTCCATTATTAAAATCTGTTTCACGCATTTCGTTCAGACGATCAAATTCGTTATCTAAGTAATAAGTCTGTTGCTGTTGTTGCTGATTATTAGTATTAATTAAATTATCAATATTTGTATTGGATGAATATCTTGGAATGTGTTTTCGTATATTTGCTTTTATAATTGGCTCTTCCTCATTCGTTGATGCAATATTATCGGTTTCATCCACAGAGTGCTGGTGCTTTCTTATTGATGCCTTCTCGTCTGAAGCTGTATTGATAAAATCAACTGTATCATTTCTGATTGATTGCTCATATTTTTTCGTAATTAAATTGCTAGGACTAGCTGCTGACTGTTTACGGCTCGTCTTAAGTAGCATGTCATTATTCTGTATTGTTTTACTAGCATCAGCAGATTTTTGATCATTACAAACTACTTGTGTGTAGACAATGTTACTGTGGTTATGATTATTAGGTCTATTAAGGCTATTAGTGTTATTGCTGTTTTCTATGTGACTCTCAACAGGTGGTGTCATAGACTTTACATTAAAATAATTATTTTGATTAGTATTATTGGGTGATGATGGCATTAAGGGAGTAGTAGTAGGACTTTTAGGCGAAAGTTGAGGATTTGTGTATGAAAAGCCACCGGCTTGTAAGACTACTATTGGTGGAGGTGACAATCTCTCAACAGATAAGCGCTTAATTATTTTATCCACCCTCACGTGCTTCGTGAGCGGAAGCTTTTCAACTGGCATTTGTGAACTGTGCATTGATTCCATTGATTTTGAAAGATATTTATTCCGTTGCTGCTTCAATGATTTTTCACAGTCCTCGTCGACAACACCCTCAACTTTATTGATATTACTGTTATTGTTATTTGTTGAGGCTGCAGCATCAAAATAGTCACTACAATTCCTTTCGTCCAATAATGGCGTATTGACTTCTGTTATTGGACTCAGTGGAATTTTCTTTCTAGATAGAGAGTTTGTTATTAAGGAAGTACTGTTGTTATCACTGTCACTACTTATTAAATTATTATTTTCATTAATATGCAGCTTATTGCCATATTTTTCACGCTTATGTCTCAAACTTTGTGAACTTATATCACTTTTGCTTCGTCCGACTTTTTTATTATTTACAATTTTCTGGTCATTCGTTTTAGTGTCTGTGCTACTACCATTATTAGTTGGAGAGATCAAGTTAGTGGAAGCTGGTATACTGTTAAAGAAATTGAAAATGGAATTTCGTTTAAGCTTTTTTGTTGATGCGTCAGATTTACTTCGTCGTAATGGCTTTTTATATGCTTGCTTTCGATGTGGCAAAGATCCAAAACTGTTGACCTGCTCGAGCACCAAGGCTGTTGTTGTGATAAAGACAAGAGACAATTCACAATCAGTTTAATTGTTGTTGATTATTATGGCATGTCATGTGTCATGGGATTTTTGGATGTAAGCATGTTAAATTGATGTGTAACGGATTTATAAGTTTTTAAAATTCAACGACAAAATAAAATTTAAATTTTGTACTAGAATCACTAACACTAACATAGAATTTTTACAAATTGTAATTTTTGAGCACTATTTTAAGGCACAGACTCATTGTAACTGTTTAAAGTTACATTACTCTGTCCATTTGAATAGAAACAGCTTAGAATTTCTGTATATTTCATATAAAATTCAATGTCAACAAAATCTAGTCCAATTTTCGCATGCTCACATCCATATGACACAATCAAGACAATTTACTCACCTGCTTCTCTTTCCAAAGCCTCGTGAGACAAGTCATTCGGTAATTGACGTCGTAAATTTGGCGATTGTGACCGCGAATTTGAGTCAGAATTCAAATTGTCATTGTTTAGTAATAATGAACCTTTTAACAATTAAAACAATAGATTAAAATATGCCATATTTACCAATCCTATTCAATTCAATCAATCAATCAATAGTAAATGCAGAGAAGACTCAATGGATAGAAAATAGACTCGAAAAATGTCTAAAGATAATGAAAATAATATAAAGTGATGATTCGCGACTTGTGTATTCCACAGATCCAAATGAAATGAAAACTACTAAAATACTAAAAACCAAATGGCAAATGCAAAATCATCTGAATTTTATCATCATCGCAGTATTAGTTTACTGTGCTGTCTGTATAAACAAACGTCAACTGGTCGCACAATTTTCATTCTCAACTGAGAAATAAACCCATTGTAAAGATCATTTGTTAATGTGTGCACAATAGAGGAATATAACATAGAATCAATGTGGGATAAAAATCGTAATTTTTTTTTTGTTGTTTGTGGAAAAGTCACATATTTGGAAATGCTCAAAAAAAGAACGTGAATGAATAAAATATGTGATGAATATAGTTTGATTTATCTATCGATCGCTGTCTATGTATTTTTATTATATCAATGAACATCATCATTTCATTCTTATCTCATTAGTCTACATTTATACTCATTTAATTGGCATTGCAATTAACTATTTCACTTCAATGATTTTTTAACGGTGTTTATTTGAATTATTGTGCATTTTAATACAAAATTGTGTCTTGGCTTTATTGGTCAAAATTTAAAAAGCCGTTAAACTCTAAATGACAATTTTAAACGTCAGCACAATTCCAAAGCCTCAAAAAATGCCATTATACTGAATGGAAATAATAAATTACATTAGTGCACCCACTTGAGGATTTATCATCAATATTTTAATAAAAGTCATTTACGTTTTAAGTTATTTTTCTTCTCTCTTTTTTTGCTGCATGCTACCGACATGTGTTGAAATAAAATCATTCTATTCGATTAATTCAGATCAATTCAAAGGAAAAGTCAAACTAACCATATCTCTTAACATGTACATCACGATTGAAAGACACACGAGGCCCATTGTTAGTCTTTGGCGTTGAGGAATTCTCCATAGAATTCACCATATTGATAGCATAACATTTCTTTCACACGCTCAAAACTTTTTTTTATCTCTTTCATTCAACAAATTCGTCCTCTTAAAAATATATCTCTAAAATGACGTCATTTTAAACTAAAATTGAATTTTGTAATGCATATTGATAAAAAATGTCATCCTGAAATTATAAATTTAATTTTTTTACTATTTTTGTGTATGCAAAGTTAAAGTTTTTTTTTTTGAGGTGTAAAGGGATTATTTCGTGTTATTCCAGTTTATCTCTTTGACATATATTAATATACATTTAGTAGCGTATTTTTGGTTAAGAAATGGGAAATAAAAATTCACTTTGGATGATTCAGGTTATTTGTAACGGTTTTCATCATTATTCTAGTACAAAAATTTGAATTTATAACTAAAATAAGCTAGACTTTGAATGTGTCTTGACTAATTGTCAACAAATTTTCATACTTTTAGATTTCAAATGTACTAGATTTTTAACAAATATTGAGTGTAGTACTAGAGTAAACTTCAGATTACAAATTTAAGGACTAGATTGTACTGTGAAAATAAATCAATTGACTGATTTAAGCTTAAACTGATTTACAGACTTTTTATGCGTTGTATTTTTCAACTTTCCAAAAATCAACACAAAAATCTGATTACAATTTCTTCAGCCACAAAAAACTAAAATCCACCAAAAATACGCTTATGTCCGATATGTTTTAATCACTTTTTCTCTAAAATTTACAAAATGCTTATATTATATACACATGTGGTACATTATTAAAGACTATGTTAGTATCAAAAAATATTAAAATTCTTTGTCGCTGCTGCCTTTTTTTTTTTGCGAGCTGTGTCAAAACCTGTCCGATTCTCACAGAGATGAAGAAATGGAAAAAAAAAGCTGAGATTTTTTTTATAGTTCCAGTATTTTTTTGGTCAACTCTAATCTCTGATAAAATAAATTAAGAACTTTCTTGTTGTGTGCTCATAGGATATTATTTTTTGAGAAGGAAGACTTCAATGAGAGAATAAGCGAGAAAAGCTGAATGAATTATCTTTGTTGAAATATTATTAAGGGTTTTTGATTAATGACGTCTACTAAGTATGGGACCAATGTTCTCTTGTTTTATTAACAAGTTTTATTTTTATTTGATCGCCAAAAAACCAATCGCATGGAAAATCGTTGTTACTACGCCTCAGCCCCTCCCTCAATAATAGTTTTGGTGTGTAGTTTCACACCCCCGAAACAGCTAAATTCAGTGTGCAGAATACAAGCTAGTACTTAGTGTCACATAGCTTTCGACCCTTGCATTAAGAAGGATGGTTTAGTTGACTATACTAGGTTGTCCCAACTCATAATCAGACAGCCCTACAGCCTATACACCAGTGTGTTTTAATGCAGTTTATCATAAAGACCTCGTATTTTAACCTTAAGAAAGCTTATTATTGGTACAAATCCCTGAGAATTCCTATAATCAACCTATTCAATTTATGACGTCATTTATATTCGATCCCCATACATCTTAATGACTCAATAATAGCAGCTCTTAAGTGTATTTAAGTGTAAAAATTGAGAGAGAATATTTTTATATAAATACACAGATTTTTGAATAGATATTTGTCCACTCTCTACGCAGGCATGTAAGTAAGTGTCATTAGAGGCTGTTAAGCGAGCATGTTTTATGTGATACAATACTATGTCGTAATATGAATTAAAGAACCAAAAAAAATTGTTAATAGCATTAAAAATTTCACCATATTAAAGGAACAGATTTATGAGGAATAGGAATGAACACAGATGAAAGTGAAAATTATAGCAATGCTCAATGTGACATAGTAGACCTTCAAATGGTACACAATGGATTAATTTAACAATTATTTCTCAGTAACCGACACCAAATGGTTTTTTATTTGACTGATAATCAGTCATTGATAAGGATTTATGGTCTCGGATTATGAATTTATTAATGAAGTCAACTGAAAATTTCATTTTGCACATTATTTTGTCAATTTTATTTTAATTTAAGCACTTTTGATGACTATTATACTTCCAAAAACTCACTTATCAATTCTTATCAACTGGATGTTTAAAATAATTTTATTAAATTTAATTTCACAATTTTAATATATTATTTTAATAAATTTAAAATTTCATTGAACTTCCAAAAATAGAATTTTAATTCCACATTTTTTGAATTTTTTCACGAAAAAGAAATAAATTTTTCAGCACATACCGATTTGACTTGTTGTGCTTTAAGATATAGACTAATGTCGCAAAAAGACTGAAAGAGAGAAAGACTCAGAAATGAAAAATATCTCACATGTACGCGAATACATCAATACCACAATGTGTGTCTCAGTATTGATCTTCGGACAGTAAAATAAGTCATGAATCTTTTTATTAAAACCATTAAAATAATTTTTATGAATGCACTTAATTAGGTAAATTAAAATGGAAAACAAACACAGTATATAAATAATATTTGAAACGAAATTTAATTAACTTAATTATTATAAGCAAGGTTGTCAATTGTGCAATTATTGGTGAAATTCATTTTCACCTTCCAGAAATAACGGGTTTTAAATATTTGAAAACCGTAACGTTTCTTTGAAATTTCAATTCATTTTAGCACAGACTTTAGCACTTGTTAATAGTTTTTTTTTTTGTTGACTTTAAAATTCCAAAGTAAATTCCTTAAATGTAGATAAATAGGCCCGTTTAATCTCCTAAATTAATAGTATACAGGATAATAGTAGACACGCTATCTTCAAGACATCAAAATGTTAAGTAAGTGCCATCGACAGACCGTGAAATTAAGAAATTCAATAATTTGTCCTTGTTAAAAATTTTCTCAAGGTTGTTGTGCAAAATTAAGCTGCTGTCAAGCGGGATGCTTTAAGCCTCGCTATAAGCGATTAGTTGACAATATATTTCCAGCCAATCCAGGTAAGTTACAGCTAATGTCATCGAATCTGTAGTTACTAATTGAGCTTTATTCCATAGAGGAGGGATTAGTCAAGTCTAATATGGAAAAACTGACTTTCTACTCGCTTAGTTCACCTGAAAAACTCGATAGAATCGGAGAATACTTATACCAAAAAGCAACTCATGACATAAATAGGCGGAGATATAAGTAAGCATGAATAAAAGTCACAATCAATATTGTTTTATAATCAATTTTATTATTTCCAGACTAGTAGAAATAGCAATGGAAGCAATGGATTTGCTACTCATGGCTTGTCATGCTCAAACCCTCAACCTTTTCGTAGAATCGTTCCTGAAAATGATCCAGAAGTTGCTCGAAGATGCTAATCCAAGTCTCCAAATTATGGCTACTAATTCTGTAAGTATTTTGTGTTATACAACTACAGTGGTTGATTTTGGGAAATTGAATGAGTCATAATCATGGATTACTTACCATTCGCATGAAATTAAGTTAAATCTCGGACATATTTGTTTAATCCTAAGATTTAAAATTTTAATCCTCGGATTTATACTTACAATCATCTCCATATCCCATTACAGTTTGTCAAATTTGCAAATATTGAGGAAGACGCTCCATCGTACCATCGTCGTTACGACTTTTTCATCTCAAAATTCTCGTCAATGTGTCACGGAAGCAATGATAATGTAGAAATAAGAAATAATATTAGAATGGCTGGAATTAAGGGTCTACAAGGTGTTATAAGGAAGACAGTATCAGATGATTTAGTAGAGAATATTTGGGAGAGACAGCATATGGAGAAAATAGTTCCGTCATTATTATTTAACATGCAATCTGGAAATGCGCGTGAAGAAGAAGTAAATGAAGAAGATAATGAGCCAAAAACTCCACCAGTTCTAGCAGAAAGTGTTTTAAGAGAACTAGTTTCACGTGCATCCTTCAGTCATATTAATGATGTCTTAAAACCATTGCTTACTCACTTAGATCATCATCAATTATGGATTCCACATGAATTTGCGATTCACACATTTCAAATTGTCATGCTTTCAATACAACCGCAATACAGTTATCGTGTTGTAGAGACGCTCATGTCTCACTTAGATACCACGGCATCGGCAAAGACAAAGACATATATTGCTGTCGTTTTATCAGCAATTATATCGATAGCTGCTGGCGAAAGTGTTGGACCGTCTGCGCTTGATATCATTAATAATCTTTTGACATTGTTGCGTGATAGTGTCCGTCGAGATAGTGGAAGTAGCAAGAATCCAACAATCGGACAATATCAAGAGAATTTGATTAATGCACTCGGTCAGTTTGCAAATCATCATCCAGACTATCAGAAAATTGAAATCATGATGTTTATTATGAACAAAGTTCCAACATTCTCAAAGAAGGATGAAGTTGATCAAGTGCTTCAGATTATATTATTAAAAAGTTTACTTAAAGTCAGCGTTCAGTATAGGACAGTGTCATTTGAGAAGGCATTTCCAGCTTCATTCCTACAACCTTTATTGAAAATGGCAAAAGTGACTGAATCTAAGGTCCGTATAATTGTTATGGAGATCTTACAAGCACTTATTGATCGCCATAAAAATCAACAGACATTATCAGTTGTGACAATAAAGAAGTACCATTCGTTATCACTGGAACCGCCCTCACGTTCCGATATAATATTTGCAAATAAGCAAGTTGGAAATTTAATGAATGCACTTATAAATAGTATGCTACTTGATGATCAGGTTATTACATTGGAATCAGCTTATACAACAGCCGCATTAATGATATCAGAAATGGGATGCATTGAGACACTTCAAGAATTTATGGTCTTTATTTTCCATCTGCAAAATAAGGCATTATCATTAGAGGATCTCACCGTTCGACATAAATGCAATTTGCATCGTATTGCCATCTCGCTTGCTACATTTATAAGCCGATGTCTTGGTATATTTACTGATTATTGTGAACAATTAATCGATAAGAGACGTCAAAATGCTCCATTTTTATTGCCACCGCTAACTGAAGACTCGTCGCCGACACTCCACTCGATGAATTTAGAAATTCCCGATGAATTATTGCTTGATCGACCGTTCATTGTATCAGTATTACAGAAATCAGGCATTCGAAGTGAACGATTGCAAATGGAATCTTTATTCCCATCTGATCGACGTCCTTCCTTAATTGACGGCATATCAACTCGCGATGGAAATTTGTCTGATACTTATCCTGATATTGATAGCATTAAGAGTTCACCGGATGTATCGCGCGTACGTAACTGTTTATTATTGCATTATTACATTTTTAATTGACTTGTTCTTTCATAACTGGATGACTTAATATTTTCTTATTTTGATTGGGTACGATCTTAACTGGTTTAAGTCTCAGGATTTAAATATTTTTAATCCTAAGATTTAATATTAGAACTCATGATTTAATTTTTTAATCCTACGTTATAATTATTCAAATATTATTTGACGGTTATTTTTTGAATATTAACTTATTTCCCTATTTATCCATTCTATACAGAAAGCATTAAATCTTCAAGAATTGAACATGCTCGAGTTGAATTTCGAAGGAATGAAAAGGATTCTTACAGCACCTCTCGAGTCAGTAAAACTTGAAGAGGTCAATAAAGAGAAACGAGAGCAAATGGCTAAATCATTAAAGGAACAAGACTTTGATGAACTAATGAAGTTTAATGAGTCTTCGGTAAGTACATTAATTTCAATTTCTTGACTACCACTTTTGTTAATCGGAATTTTATGCATGAAATAACTGGAACTAAGTCAAAAGTTCTCCTGCATAATTTATAACATTTTTCTCTCTTTTTTTCTTTCTCTTATTCCAAAAACAGCATGATCACATCCAAAACAAACTGAATGAACTATTCAATTCACTTGCCATGGATAGACCATATTTAAACAACGATAATACTTTAAATCCAAAGAATCAAAAGCCAATTTATGAAAAGAATTTTCCGGAACTCTTTTTCTTTTAAGGACATAATTAAATAATTGCTAAAAAAGTTGTGATTTACTATCAATATCTATTAATAACGATTAAAGTTTGGAAAGCTACTCAATTTTATTTGTTATCATATGAATGGTTATAGAGCATTTAATGATTATTTATTTAAATATTATGAATATAAATGAAGTTTATGGAAAAATCAAAGTGATTAAGTATTGGAAAGATTGAGAAATTTGCACACAATTTGCTGAGGCTTCGTGTAATGTTAAAGGAGTGTCGATATTGATGGTGTTTGGTTAGGCACAGCAAAATACCATTTTGTACAAGTTGCCATAAAATTCATCCAGTTTCGTACTTATAAAGTAATAAATTCTACTTGACGCGCTTAAAAGCTATTAATATATAAGTGACATGCAGCACGAGATTCAATTCAGAAGCCTCAAATGTGGAATATTTTTCAGTTTTTCTTCGTTCGAGATCGTTAATAAGTGACGTCGTTTATTTAATGAGCTTAAATTGTTCTTTAATGATGAAATTTATTTCTTGCAATATATCAGAAAATTTAATTTCCAACGGTTTTTCAAAATTAAAAAATTCAAGGTTCAAAATTTGAACTATTTTTGTTCATTAAAGTTTAAATTATTTTTGACAGCTAAAATATAAACTTTTTTGGCTGTTAAAATCTAAACATTTGAATGCAAGCTGACGTCTATGAAAGACCCAATCAATAATGAATAAAAAGCTCTTTAAAAATATTTATAAAAAAACTTACCATTAATAAACTAGTAGCGGATGTAGTAAGGGTTAAATGAACTCCAAAGTCCTTTTAATTAATTAATTATCACTTTGTAGTTTTTTTCAGCATCCGATGTGTAATAGGAAGTTTTATTTGGGATTTCCTTGGGCATTATTTGTTGAATTTAGTATTAAAACAATGACCCGAAATGAATCCCAAATTTCAAGCCCTATAAAAATTAATTAAGTCCAATAGAGTCAGCACTGATAACGTCTAGCAATAAGTTCCGTGTGATAATTTGGGACTTTACAGGCCAGTAATTGTAGTAAGCGACAATATACACTGCTGTACCCGGAAAATCCCAAAATACCATGCGGCAAATGGATAAACACAGAATTCACAATTTAAGGCACTTGATTTCCTCTCGTGTCATGTAATTTAAGTCTTTTATATGTTCAAAGCTTTTTGCATGCAAAGAGTTCAATAATCAGAACTGTTAGAATTGTTAACACTATCACTGCACCCATTATCAATAAAATATGTAACAGTAGCAAGTAGCAGCTGAGGATGGAAAAAAAGCGATTCACGGTCTTCAAATGATCGACTTCACTTGACGAATGCTCAAGAATTACTGAGTGGCTAATAAATGAATAAATGTAGCGTTTATACGATATGCTATAAATGATATCATTATATTTTTTTTTCTTACTTCTTTCTTTGTCCCGTCCCGTCTCTCTCACCCGTTTAACTTTCTTCAAATAGTTGTTTCTGTCGCTGTTTTTTGTAACTCGCAAAAGTCGAGACAAAATAGTGAAATAGCGAATCGTGTCTGTTAGAGTCGAGTATGCAAATTACATTTTACATGCGAAATTACTATATGGTAAGCCCAAATCAAAATCTATCTTTTGCATTAAGAAATAATCGAGTTGCAATGTTCGTGAGACATTTTTTGTGTCTAGAGCGCATTTCTTTGTTGAGTTTTGGTTGAATTTTTATGAATTTAAAAAATTTTGAATTTAACGGAATCGAAAATTTTAAATTTTACCTGTCAAAAATTATTTGAATTTTAAACTTTAAAGGTTCAATTTTTGAACTATAAACTTCCATTACTTTTTGAACTTTGAACTTCCGTTGTTTTTGAATTTTGAACTATCGTTACTTTTTAAATATTCAAAATTACAAGCTAATGTCTCTCTATAAAGCTCAATTTTAATTTCTGTCAAAAGTTTGTCAACTGCACGGACAAAAGCCTCGTCAAACACCCCATTATTCCACAGCAACAGCTCAAGAAAATATATATAGCATAAAAAAGAATGAAAAAAGAAATATCAGCAGAAAAGAGAAAGAGAACAGATTAGAATGTATTGCTTTCGAATGGCACACGACCATTGTACAATGTTATAATATATGTATTATATAGATATAGTTCAGTCATCTACTTTATTCTGTGTTTTTTTTTTCGGACAGAGCAAATATGTAGGCATATTTTCTTCTTCTCAAAAGATTTATAAGTCACGTACTTTGAGACTATATAAATGTACATAACTATCTCATGTAACGGAAAAATCTGAAAAATTTTTGTCCTTACTTCTCAATTGATTGTGGGGTCCCCAATTGATATCGTGAGGAATATGTTGCTAAGTTGTTATTTAGTGCCACGAAAGAAAATATAAATTAAAGTTGAAAGATCTTGAATGGAAAAACGAGGTTCAGTGATATTAATGAGCAAGACTTTAGACTTGACATTAAGAGCCCTACAAATGTTTGAATAACCGTAACAATTTGAATTTAAAACCATACAAAACCCAATTTAAAGAATAATTTTAAAACCATACAAATTCATCAAAACGCTTCAGTTTGTTAATATTTTGAAAACCATACAAAAGTTGTCCAAAAACCATTCAAATCCAAAATAAGGCACCCATTCCATGTACTGGACAATTAAAAAAACCAAAGCAATTTAACCTTGCTTTCTCAATTAATTCAAAATTAATTTCTCAAATGAAAACTTTCGACTTGCATTCCTGCTATACAAATGATAAGCAAATAGGTTCAATGTTAAGACATTAAATTTTCTTTCTTTGGGGACTTTTCAACATTCGCTTACAATATTTCACTGTATCGTAGCAAATTTATCTATTAAAGCAAAAGAAATAGCCATGCAGCAACCAGCAGCAGCGGCAACGAAAAAAATTTGCATAAAATTCATTAACAGCAAACACTTGCTCGCGATCCACGATAAAATACCTTTTACTCTCCTTTTATTCATTTACACGCTTCTACTGACGGTGATGCTGACCTGCACTGCACTAGAAAAAAAAATGGAAATGCTGATAAGAACATTACAAACGAGTTTTATTGAACGAATTACAGTTTCATGGTAATATGTAGTGTTTTATATAAAGAAAAGTTCTGGGCGTGGAATAGATTGGATAGTACATGACCTCAGACAATACCCCATCATACACACCAACCGTTATCATTTACACATTTTCATAATAATAACAAATAACTTCTCTGCCTTTATGTTCTTTTATCAGTAACAGGAAGCATTTTAAATTGAATCTGGTCTCTTGCAATCAGCTGCTGCGTGACTTGACATGTGTTGCAATTTTACATTGTCCTGTAGTCATGTAAGCAGGCTGTGCTAATAGATTCATTGCGAGAATTTCGGTTTTTATTTTGAAATCTCACTTGAAATTTTTTTGTTAAATTTTTGACTCGATTTGATGTTTATGGAAGATTTGAATGCTAGTAAAGGGTTTAAAAATAGTGAGCAAGGCTGTTTACATGAGTGCTTTTGAGAAAATCAGCATGAATAAGCCAAAAACATTAAAATTTCCTTTTTTGTAACAAATGTGAACTATAAAGTGCGGGAAAATTCAAATATTTGAAAAATAACGCTTTTTCAATCTTATTTTAATTTAAGAAAACTTTTAAAAGCATTATAGAGCTTTCTTAACTCCCAAATACTGAACAATCTAATAGATTTAAGAAGAGTAAACTCATTTAGGGATTTCTAATGCCCTATAAGTCGACAGACATCACCATACTATTGGCACACCCTAGAAAATAGTATTCAAATAGTTTAGATATGATCTAATTCAATTTTAATAAGCATATCAATGCATGTGCATTAATTATTGACATTGGAAATCATAAAGAAGGTAATAAGATAAAGAGGCCTTAAGCTATTATCCGAATGAAATTCTCTCTCGTCATATCACTTGCATATTATCCTCATCGCCCATGAATGAAATTAGTTCGCTATTAAAATGATTCTTGATTCTCACATTAGCTGTATCATTTTCATCTGACATATAAAGCGAGTAAGTAAAAGAAAATATTTATTTTTTTAAAGAGATACAATTAGCAACTCGATTTAATTAATTAAATGTTTTTGTCATTACGATTACGAGGAAGATAGAGATTGAGAGATTCAGAAGCAGGTAAAGTGACACGATATATTATAATAAAGCTTGAATATATGAAAATTCTTTTCTGAACTATAATTACTTATGCAAATGCATAATCAACAACTAAAGATTATTTTACATTTTGATTCATCATCTCTCACAATATGCAAACTCTATGCATTTCTTTTTCTTCATTTTTTACATGCCTCCGAGGTGATTTCAAGTAGTTGCTGTGGAGAAAAGAAGCTAGTTGATGCGTGAGACTTGAACGCTTATTTTTAACGACTATTTGGAATTTGAATAAAATTTTGACAAATAAATTGTTCACTGAACCAAATTTAACGGTTTTTAATTTAAACTTTTGTTCATTGAACGAATTTACCAGATTTTAATTTAAAACTTAACGAACAATTCAAAGTAAAATAAACCGTTAAAAAGAAATCAAAATTTCAAAAGCAATAAAAACTTAATTTCCTCTCATTCTTACTACGCGGCTTCATCTAAAGCAAAAAACAGCAGCCAGTCAGTAAATCAAACTTCAAATAAGTACCACCTCGTTTCTTAAAAAAATGAGCTTTACAGAAATAAATTCCCTTTGCTTTCGTATAAGAACCAAAACAAGTTGCAGGCTTAAAGTTTATTAGTAATGTGTACTATTTCATATAAAATTTCTCATTACTTCAAAAAAAAATAAGTCGGTTATCAAAATCTCGCAAATGCCTTTTAATTTCCTTTCTCTCTTTTATTCTCTGTAACTTTACTGTTCAGCCTTTAAATGCTGCTTTATTTCTTAAATTCTATTATGTTTAGAGAAGCTCATTCCTGACTGGATACATATGTATACTAAATATAAGTGATAGATAAGAAGAAAGAATGAAAAAAAAATTAATTGAAAGGAATGTGCTACTTGGTCCGTGCAAATCATGTGCCTTTTTTGTCCGTCCGACAACCTTTCATTTGCGACAGATATATATATTATGTCTTGTAATCAAAAAGAATGAAAGATAACAAATTTATCGGTATATGGCTTCACATCATTGAACAGTGAAAGAGATTCGAGAGCAGCAGCAGCACAAAAAAAAAGAGTAGTGAATTATCTGACAAGTTCATTTATCTATCAAAGTCAATTTAGGGCTGTGTTATGAAGTCATTTATCTATATTATAAATATTTTTCATTCTCTTAAATCTCCTAACCTTTCGAAATCAGTCTTAACAATATGATTTGTGCAGATACTGACAGCTTTAAAGGCATGCTAGTCTGCAGAGTCGTTGAGACTGGTAGCAATAGAGATATATGGACTCTGCTCACAAATTGAACATGATCTAATCATGTAAAATAATACGAAAGTCTTAAAACGGATCGGCTTAAAAACTGTACATTTTTGATGGCAATTTAAGAAACATGAAGGTAAATTATGTATTAATACAGCTCTAGGAAGAGAAATGTTGAATTAAATGGCTTGGAATTAAAGGATTTCAGTTTCAGAAATCAACGATAGACTTTAAAGCTTATATGTGCAATTTATGATCTAGGACTTTCATTTTAGATTAAATAATCTAGTGCTTATTACTAATTAGTATGTACTTTAAATCTAGTTTCTAAGCTGAATCAAGAATCTGTTTTTTTTAATCTAGTACTTTAATTCCAGAAACTTTAAGCCAGTACCTTTAATCTAGACACTCTAATCTAGTGATTTTGATCTAGAAACTTTAATCTGGTCCTTTTGATTTAAAATTTTCGGCATTGTACATTAATCTAGTACTTTTGATAAGTAAATTGAGACAACTTCATTAATTCAGATTCAGATTTAAGGGAATCTAATACTTAGATTTTCTAGGTTAATCTATTACTCCTTTTATAGAATAAATTGACTAAAGCTAGAACACATCACATTTAAGTATTCAAAATCTGATAATTTTTAAGTGAGTAGCCTCAATGAGTTGAGGCTGATAAAGATGACTAACGATAAGAATCCAAAACAGCAAATATGCCCACCCAAATACACAAACTTTAAAAGAAAATGTAAGCGTGAATAATGAAAAATCAAAAGCAATCTTGCAAGAGTGAAGCTGAGTACAAAAATAAATCAGCAACAAAAGTTATTATGTGATGATTACAAACATATTTGAGGTTAATAAGCTCCCAATAATCAATGTACTTTTATAATAACAAAAATAAAACAAGGTACGAAGCATTAGCTCATTAAATTATGTTCCCTAATGCAAGTGAAGGTCGATCACTTTGCCGTATATAGCAAAGAAGAAAAGAAAGAAAAAAAAGCAATTTTATCTACTGATAGCTTCGAGACAATCAATGAGTACAAAATCATAATTCAAGTCATTTTTCTGAATGAAACTAGTTAATCATTTAGTTCCAATTTTATATATTTCTTTCTCATTTCATAATTGATCATTATAAAGACAGGTCAGCAATGTGTCAACATTTCTGTGAAAGCTCTCAGTTCCAAGCAAGTGTGCAGTAGCATTCTTTGTTGCAGATTAAAGTCGATTCTTAGAGAATTATTGCAAGTTGTTGCCATGAGGCTTTACAAAATATACAGACCTTATCACAAAAATATTATTAACACACAAAGTACAAAATAAAAACTTGACCATGTTTCACCAACGTGGTACTTGTCTTGACGAGTCTACAAGATTTACTGAGAGCTTAATAAATGTTACATTTAATACAAAATGTAACATAACGAGAGTTATTTTCTTTTAATATTGCCTCTTCCTTATTCGTTGCGTTCGATTCTTTCTCTAACATACCTCGATCTTCATTTTTACATACAACTTTTTATTATTATTTTGCTCATAGTCCCCGCGTGTAGAAACAATAAGAAGAATGATCTGATATTTAAAAATAAATCATGCATTATCATCGATCAGGTTCATAGAAAGAAGTGGATTTGATCGAAGATAAATTAATCATATTGCGTTGAATAAACGAATTGGAATTTAAATGCTCATTTTGTATGATTGAAATAGTTTTTTGTAACGGATTTTAAAAATTCAAATTTTAACGTTTTTTTTTGGAATTTAAATCTCATTTGTAAACATAGAATAGTTGAAGCAAAATTTTCTGCTGTGCAAACTTTAATGATTTCTTGTGTATTTAAGTGGCAAAAACAGTTTAATTTTAGTTAAATACACTCTTTAAACAACTTAAGAGGTGATTAAAATCGAGTTTGCATGTTTAAGGTGAGTTTTATACATTTTTTTATTTTTTCAATTTTTATTGCCAAGTTTCCTATTGTTTACTGTGTTTATTTGAATTCCTTTTGAGATTTATTTAATTATAGGATAGATAGAAATGCGTCAGTGTTTATATTATTTTAAATCATCTATGCTTTTCACTCGCAGATGCAAAAATGTCTATAGCATAGATTAATCATATAGAAAAGTATGTAGAATCACAAAAAATGTGCGTAGGATGTATTATTTCATATCGTTTAGATCTAAATTTATTCTATCAATAAGCGCTCTTCATAATGTATAAATAGATAGTGACGATGGTCAACGGTCAAGTTAAATTGATCAATTTTCCCAACATGCTAATATATTATAATACATCAACTGTTGCCGTTATCAGTAATCGAGCAAAGAGACATCAAAATTGCACATGGCAAGATCAAAAATGAATTGTTCGTGACACTGAGCAATAATTTACAATTTTTAAATCCTTAATGCAAATAATGCTGATCAGCTTATGTTTTTCTAAAAGCTCTCGCCAGGACCTGCATTTTGGTATATAACAAGTGACATTGTGCTATAGTTAAAAAATTAATTAAAGTTCTACTTTAATTAACAAAGTTCCAATGAATTTTAGAAAACTAGATATAACTTTTGGCTGTTTTATTGTTCTAATGATTTTTCAATGTAAAACTATAGCAAAACATAAGATGCATCTTGTTGCAAAATGTTAAAAAGATTAACCAAGAAAATTGTAACGGTTTTGAAAAATTCAAAATTCTTATGAAATTCTGAGCGAAATTGAGCAAAACATGTTGCTTAATTAAAATTGCAATGTTTTTGAGTTAATTTAACTCATTTTAATGCAGAGTTTGAAAATAAAATGAAAATTGCTCTATTTTGAAAATAAATCAAAATGAAAATTATGAAAATTGCCAATTTTGATCAAAGCAATTTTGCAATTTTGTCAATTTCAGAAAATTGCAATTTTGGAAATTGTTTATTTTCCAAAATTGCAATTTTGGAAATTATCAATTTTTATTTTTGTGACGTCATAAATATTTGATGAATAATTTTGTATGAAAATTTTCTTCTTTTTAAATGAATTTTTTCTTCAGAAAAACAAAAGATACAGTTTATTTCCTGGATGTTGATATTCGTTTTTAACTTAATACTTGCTAATTCCTGCGTGTTTGATGCGTTGTTCCCTGGTATAGTTAGCACCTAAAATCAGATCTGGAAGTAGAGGAAGTGCCTGGTTCCACCCCATGCCTGAAAGTGTCTAAAAAGTATAGAAAACAAATAAATTTTTTTTTGGCAGTTCCAGTCAGTTGGACACAACCAGTTCCATATGGGATATCTCATATAACATAGTACTTATGATTCGTTATTAATTTTCATCATTTGCTGCTATGATTGCTGATAATGGTTTTGATTAAAAATCAAGGAAAGTCTCAAGCATAAAGTCATCAATTCATATGAAAATTTTCATACAAAATTCCCGAAGAAATTTTGTGACGTCACAAAATTGAAAATTGATAATTTCCAAAATTGCAATTTTCGAAAATAAACAATTTCCAAAATAACAATTTTCTGAAATTGACAAAATTGCAAAATTGCTTTGATCAAAATTGGCAATTTTCATAATTTTCATTTTGATTTATTATCAAAATAGAGCAATTTTCATTTTATTTTCAAACTCTGTTTTAATGCCTTTTATAGATAGAATTTCTATAGAAAATGACTTTTTAGCTACTTATTAATTGTTTTCAGTCAATTAGAGTTAATATTTTCGGTTAAAAAGCGATTTCTTCAACAAATTGAGTTTTTGTTAAATTAACTTAATCTATTCAGTTTTTTGAAGTCACAATACAATGTTTTGATAGAAAATATCAAAATCTACAACTTGAAGACTTGAACAACCAACTTGCTTCTTTCATATGAAAAAGTTAAACTTTCTGAAATTAACTATCGACCTGTGAAAAAATCATTAAAATTGGATGCTGGCAAACAGAGAAATCAGCATATAAAGTTTTTTTCCCTTTTTTTCTGATCTTGCCCACATATTTTCTTCTCATGCTTAAAAGCTATAAGCATGGAATGTAAGGTGAATTTAAAGTTTCTCGCTGTGTGCAGTAAACACGTCAGTGATAAGATTAATTTTATGTTGATTTTTTATAGCCATTTAAACATGGTTCGCATCACTTAATAGTTTAATTACATTTCAAAGCAAAAATAAGGAAAAATTTCCATTTGAAATAAGAGATCGGAATCTGCAAATATCTTTCATATATAATTATCCATAATAATCCAGAAGCAAGCATGCACTTTTTAGATGACATTGTTCTGATGATCATTTACTTATGGGATCGTTTGTTGAACAGTTTGAATCTCATTGTGGTTAATTTATGAACGGCAATTATCTAGTCAGTTAAGCATCAGCTTAAGATTATGTTACATTTTATGAATTTTAATTCATCACTGGGCACAGGAGGTAGCAGTCAATTGTGAATAAAGTTTCTTAATCATTATTAGATTCAAATGTAAATGTTGAGGTGTATCTTATTGAAGCACAATAAAATTATGCAAAAATTGTTTGTTCCTTGATTACGAAGCACAAAAATATCTCTATCGAGAGCTTTCGATCAATATAAATAACCCCAGAAGCTATACAATTGAACACAAAACAAAACTACATTGCATGAATTTTATCAATCTAATATCGATTTAACATTTGCGGTTGATCAAAGGAAGCTTCACCTAAATCATGACTTCATACAACTAGCAACATAAAATCATAAATAAAACCTGATGCTGATAATTAATTGCTTTAAGATAATTGAAAGAGAAAATAATTAATTAAATAGGGAGGTAATTATGAGCGACTGCTTACACGATGAGGTATTTTGTAATGCACATCTACTTTGCCTAATGAATTCTATGAATTAAATTAACGTTATTTTATAATCAATTTTTCTAAAATAAAAGCTCTTAAATTGAGCTTTAATGTTGAATTATTTTTAACGATGAGAAAGTTTTTAAGTATTTTAAACGACCTCTGCAGGGAAATCCAGTAAGTAGTCATAACAAAAATAATTCTTTAACAATAAAGTGGTTTCGTTTGTTTTGAAAAGATTATTAATTAAAAATTTAAGGAAATATGAATAAAAAGAATCAAGTGATTGAACTATTTACTGGCTATTCTTATGCCAACAAGGAAACGCAAGAAATGAAAGCAAATGCATCGGTAACTTTAGTGAAAAGTGAAAATAAAATTATTTTGGTAAGTTCATATACAAAAAAAAATCAATTAATCATTTGAGGATGTTTTTTGCACGCGTAGATAAATTTTCTTCTTATCATTCTGGTTTGTGTTTCAATTAGTGACGCGCAATTAATTGTTTACTTAAAACTGTCAAATCATTTTATAATATTATCTTTAATATCAAATATCGGAAGCCTTACATAATTATGCACTATGCACTAAAAGTTTAATAATAGAAACGAAAATCATCGATATTTTTACTGATCAAATATTGAATGTTTTCGTTTACAATGTAGGTTGACACAATGACAGCTTGGGACAAAGATGTTCTGTTAAAACAACTAAAAAGCTACCATGTACAACCGGAAGATGTTAACTTTTTAGTTTGTACGCATGGACACAGTGATCATTGCGGCAATATGAATTTATTTACCAATGCTACTCATTTCCTTGGATCTTGTGTATCATTTAGACATTTATATTATTACCATGACTTTGAAAAGAATCCTTATGTCCTTGACAATGATGTGGAAGTGATGTTTACTCCAGGTCACACATCGACATGTGTTTCATTGATTGTTAAAAATTCAACGGCAGAAAAAAATGGAACAATTGCCATTGTTGGTGACTTGTTTGAAAAGGAAGAAGACATTTTCGATGACTCATTGTGGATTGAAGCAGGAACAGAAATGGAAAAGATGCAACGACAAAATCGCTTAAAAGTTGCTGAAATTGCTGACTTTATTGTTCCGGGACATGGACCAAAGTTCAAGGTGACCGATGAAATGATTGAAAAATTGCGACTAGACTTACACATGTAAAGTGCATGATTCTTATCAAATTATAAAGATTTCTTATCAATTGTTTTTGAATTCAATAAGATTTTTGAATACGTAAACACTTTTTATATCACGTTCGGTGTCTATTTTTAAAAATTGATTTATTTTTTTTTTACGATAAAAATTTAAAAGAAGCTCAGGGCAATTGATGCTGTTTTAAACAATTTTGATACACATTTTATTTTAACATGACAAATAAATTTTTGTTTTAAAATTTTGCTATTCTCCCCTAGAACTGACAAAAGGAATTAAAGTTTGAATTTCTATCAATTATTAAATTATTTGCCTAATCAATTGGTTAATTAAAAAGTTAAATTTTGCAATTATTTTAGTCAAAACTAGTTTTAAAACGTGCAATTTAAGTTAGATTTTGAAAAGGTGTTTAAACGTTAGACTCTTTGATGGAATCTTACTGGCTTGTATCTAGGAGGTGGCAGAAGAAAACCACTCCTCAGTCTAGAAGGGATGGAAAATGTTCTTAATTGTTCTAGAGTTTGAATTGAGGAAAGTTTTTTATCCTGAAATATTCTCTTGAAAATTAGGACCTAAATGCACCCTAGATTTGAAAAATTTACATGACATACAATAAAATTTGACAAAACTCAATAAAGCTTATCAAAAAATAAAATAAAAGACATTAAATATACATACAGGAGTTAATGATTCTAAAGATATTCTATGTGCGATGATGAGGTCCTTTCATTTCAATATTATAGTAAAAGGCATTGTAAGTGTAAGAAAATATTATTAACACTGAAAAATAATCATATGAAGGAATTTATCTAAATTTTATATAAATTTATATTACTAGAATTAAGATTTGGAATTTATCAATTTACCTTACGATTTATAATGGTGTATGACTGCTTCTTTGAAGATTATTCTACAATTTTAATGTAAAATTACCTATTTCTTCGACCTTATCAGCCATAGTTCATTGCCATTTACTTTATATTCTGTAACGGGGAACATCATAGCTCTGCATAATCATTGAGGATCAAATAAATCCAATGAACATAATATTTATGCAAAGAAAGGACCCACTCATATTCTTGACATGACTTAAGGCGTGTTAAGAAATTTTTAACGAAGTTTAAATCTATTTCATGCAATACCAAAGTGGCTAAACTGTACAAGATGGAGCACCCTTTTATTTTCGTTTAGGTCTAGTAGATGAAGAAAAACACTAATTAGAGTGGCGGAAGCATGTTTTTCAAAGTTACCAAAAATTTTGCAGTTAATTTGCAGTTGAGCATACCAAGTGTTTATATCCTTTTACAAAAGAATAATTTTACTTTTATTGGTTAACCAGTTTTGGAAAACATATTTGAACAATAATTATTAAAGATCATTAATATATTATAACCCTTTTACAATAGGAAAAAAAGTCAACTGCAAATCAACTGCAAATTTCAGAAGTCGCTAAATATACTTCCGCCACTCAAAATGGTATTTTTCTTCATCTACTGGACGTAAACAATCTTAAGATACTTTAAAAATTGAAAAATAAAGGGTGCCCCATCTCGTACGGTCTTACCAATAAAGTTTTAGGGTATTTCTGAGACATTTTCTCAAAGATCCCTTAAAAATTTGAATAATTTTACTCGCCATCCCGTTTCTTGATACGTCCTTGACTTAAACAGTCATAGGTCTCGCGAATATAAGTATTAATGTTGATAAATTCTATTATATTTCTATCATAACCTGTAAGTTGTAAATTTTTTATCATAAATAAAGAAGACAAAAAAAGTTTTACATCAAAAATCGCTTTGCTTTATTTCCACATATTTTCTTTAACTGACACATGAATTCTATCTACTTTATGCTCATTTTTCCACATAATTTAATTTTATTTATAATTTTTTTCTCTTCAATTAAAACTAAGATTTTATGTGAAAAAGTTTATATGTAGTTTCTATCAGTCCATTTAGTTTATTAAATCCATTTAATTTTAATCACAATGTTTTTTTTTTCTCATCTTATTATAAATTGGTTTTTTTTCTCCTCATTTCTTTCGTAAGTGCATTGTGTTTTATGATATATATATATACGTTTTATGAAAGATAACAGCTGAGCATAAAAGATTTTTTTTTAAAATTAAAATTATTGCATTATTGCCCCGTCTCTTTTTTTCGTAATAACAAAAATTCTAAATTTAAAAAAAAGGGATAAAAAAGAAGTAAAATGAAAATTATATTTAAAAAAATTAGAGTTTAATAATTAAGACCTAATCATTCTTATCAGTTACGCGATCGAATACGAATTACAAAACGGAATTCATGCTAAAAACTTACTAAATAGTATTCAGTCTTTGTAAATAAAAATTAAGATTAAAAATTATGTTTTCCTGCTAAATTGTCTGTTGTCGAATTTAGAGCCGATATCTTAATCGACTTAATCATAAAGTGAGTTAGCAAAGAAATATGGAAAATTGAACTATTAAACTAATCAACGACAAATTTGAAGCCGGAAAGAACTGAACCTCTCCAGCATTATTACTATTATTATATGGCGAAATTCTATTATGGCATCCGAATGTACATTTGTGCTAGAATCTCGATTTGATTGTGCATCACAAATTATTCGGAATATTGTTGGCTTATTCGTTCCAAAGACTAATCAATGGCTCAAAAATCAGAACTCTCATAGTTAATGAAAAATATTCAATTATAAAAATTAAGAATAAAAGAAAAAGAAAAAAAAATCTGTACGTGAAGTTATTGCACCCCTTACAAGTTAAATTAATATAAATACAAAAAAAAATATATAAATTTAAAGTCCTGATTTTTTCAAAAAAAGAATCTTTCACGTTTTTCTCTTTTGTGTATGTGTGATTAACGCTTGAGTACGCATTTACATTTCATAATTTCATCCTTAACATCTAAGAAAATAAAAGTGATAATAGTAATTGTTTTGTTTTCTAAAGAATTAAGTCCAAGATTGATTATTGAATGATTTTTGTAGCACTTTTCTATAAGACACTTGTGTTTTTTGTTTTAATCAGCTTGTTTTTTTAACAGTAACTGGATTTTGGTTGTGATGTTTGCAATAAAGTTTTCTGATCCTCAATTCAGCAATATTCAGCTACTAGCTTGACACACTTAGCTGAATGCAGTTTAAATTTCCAATTCTAAAGAACTCAAAACAATCTAATGCATTTTTTGTTTAATTCAGCGCGATTTAGTACAACTCAGCTGAATTGAACTGAATTGAAGTAAATACAGCTCAACTTACAAAAATCTCAATTCAGCACTATTCAGCTCAATTCAGCATCTCTTAAGAAGCTTTATTTTAACAATTCAAACTTTATAAATCTTTTAATATTCTTTGAGCTGATCGAAAATCTTCATTGCGTGCAAACTATTCAAAAAATTTTGTTATAAAAACTTAGAAAATGTGATTCTATAATTATCACAACATTAACATTTCATATAATCCTTTGTGATTTAAACATCTTTCACATTTAAGACAACAATCAACTTAACGCTTTTTTTTTTTTGATATTGTACTATTAATCCTAAATTCATTTAATTGTATTTATGCAGTTCTTAATAATTATATTTCCATAATATTAAGACACGGTGGTGAAAACAGTTACATAGTTTACCCGAGCTTTTTTTCTTTTTTCAGTAAAAATAAAAATAATAATAGTAATAATAAGTATAAAAAAATAATTGAAACTAAAAATGTATATATTAATCTATACCTGAATCGTTACATTTTTGTATTTTGAACTTAAATTGTAGAATTATATTAGATAGAAATGTGATAACTTTCAAATGAGAAGAAATAATTGTAAAAAAAGTTTTTTTAATCACTAATGATCTAATTAGTACGAGGTAGTTGTTTGCATGCGGTTGAGTGTTCAAATTATTATTCTTTTTTTTACTAATATTCTTTTAAGAATGTCTTCGTTTCGATAATGTTGGTCCACAAAAGGATAGTAAGGATTAATTTTGATTTGAGAGATAGAGAAAGTAAACAAAGGAGGTTAAAAGGAACGATTTGTATATTTTCTATAGGAACAAAAACCTGATGAGAGTGAATATGTCTATTGAGATAAATGCATTCTACTCATCATAATTTGCTGTGGTTGTTGGAGTCAATGCAACACCAGTTTCAGCAAATTTCTGCTTTAATTCATTCGTGTCGAGTGCTAATGGCTGATCCATAACATTTGGTGGTGTGGTCGATGAAGGTTCGGATCTAGGTGATAAATACTTCATTGGTGGCACAATAACACCGCGATTCTCAAATGGCGGTGTATGTGGAATCGGTGGAGTCATGTGTGGTGGAGATTCACGTCTTAAAACTGACAAATTTTCTGCTCTATCAATCTCTTCCATCTCATCATCAATCTCTTCTGCAGGTTCACGTTTAATTAATGATTGTTCACCATTCGATCGATTCCTTTCACGTTCTCGTTCTCTTTCATATCGCTCTCTATCTCTCTCCCTTTCACGCTCCCTCTCTCTGTCTCGTTCGCGATCTCTATCCCGTTCTCGTTCTTCTCGTTCATCATTATCATGACGATTAATAAATTTTGATAATACACTGGCTGTGGTTGGATCATGTCCACGTGAACTTGTTCCCATTCCATTGAATTGAGCATGTGCTGCTGCTGCAAGAGCCATTGCATGTAAAGCATCACCTCTAAAATCTTCGCTACGAGCTTCTGCTGCTAATTTCTGTAAGAAAATTGGATCAAGAAGGCTTGCATGTGGACTTGGTCGGTGATGTTTCATGTTTTCAACTTCCATTTCTGAATCAAAGTCTTGTGATGTTGATAATTGATTGTCTTGGTTTGGATATAAGCCAAATGCTCCAGCAGCTCCGCTTAATGAACCATATGGGAATGCAGCACTGCTTGAACTTGGACCTGGTTCTCGTTTAGATGTAGATCTATTGCGTGGTGTTCCTGTTGTAATACCCAACTTTTTCACCTTATCACTAGAGTTGTAAAAAAACAAAAATTAATTAATATGCTTCAAATGGAACTAGTTTGTATGTATGAACTTACTATAATGTACGCGATGGCACACCGAATTTGCGACTTGCCTGAAGCGCACTCATTCCATTGCGAACACATTCAATAGCTGACATAATATCATTTCTGGTATATTGTTTGTAGCGCTTCCATTCCGGTTTTTGTGAACCAGAAGCACTACCATTACCTCCACTACCTTGACTGTGATGTTGATATTGTGCTTGTTGGAACTGCTGTTGTTGCTGTAGATAAGATGGAAGTCTAATATCGCCTAAAAATTCTGGTGGTGATTCACGTGGGCGTCGATCACTATTTGATTCGTCATCAAATGATTTGTCAGTGAAAGGTGATGCCGGTTCTTCATATTTAAATTTCTGTGTGGACATAAAAAAAAAAATTTTTGTGAAAAAAAATTGTTGAAATATTAAAATAATTATGTTTACCTTTTCGGAATTGTCGCTTCCATTCGATGAGTGATAACTACGTGCACCACTTTTTCTGCCATAACTCACATAAACTGATCCGTTTCCGCCACTTACATTTCCAACATTAGAATCATCTAAATTATTTCCATTGCCATTATTTTCGTTATTATTTGTGTCATTGTGATCCATGTTATCAGTTCCATTTCCATTGCCATCTTCACCATCGCCATTATTACTAGCACGTGTTGGACTTGATGCATTTGCAATCATTTGAAGTGCATTATTTGATGAATCGGCAGCAATGGATTGAGCAAGAACATTACGTAAGATTGGAGTATCTCGAGTCATGAGCATTGAACTAATTGATGATAATTTTTTACGTTTTAATGGATTCATATCGGAACCAGTTTCATAGACAGAGCTGAGCGTTGATTGAGCAGATCGTGAAAGGGATAAAGGTAAAGGTGATGGCCAATTTCTATTTCTTTCGTCATCCATAATGTCTTGTTGCTTTGGTATGCCAGCTCCAATTATTTCGCGTGATCCACTCGAGCTTTGTGAGAAAATACTTGCTGCATATGGTGATTTATAATTGTACGGTGGTGATGATGAGCTCTGTGCTGATGAGATCTTTGTTGACGTTGAAATGATTGGCGATGAATGTGTTAGTGGATGAAGTGGATATGCTATTTGATCACGTTTATGATCTGATAATGGATTTGGTTCACGTTCACTTCTAAAGAGATTGCTATTATTCTGTGGACTTGGTATTGGCTGCTGTTGTTGCTGTTGACTTATATTATTTGTGAGATCAACCATGTCAAGAAGTCCTTTGACTTCAAGCATTTTTGCAATTTTGATTATTCTGTGTAACTGTGATTCAGCGATGTTAACTTCGCCAACATAAATGTACTCTAAAAGTGTTCTCATTTCGAATTCCTTAACACCTGGGAAAATTAAACTACAATGATCTTGTGGAGCATCCTGTAAAATTGCTTGAAAGTATGGTGAGCATGCGGCTAATACAACACGATGTGCTTTAAACTGCACACGATCATCAACATATATTGTGCAATCAACATAACATTCCATTTTGATAAGTGCTTCAAGTATTTCAACGAGATTCGATTTGTGATTATTCCATCTAAGGCAATAGCCATGTCCATCTGATGACCACACTCCAGTGCCACTCTTTGTGGCACCATTCTTTGTCTCATTTCCACTACCCATCTTTATTATGCTTCCGTTCCCGTTGGACTCAATTTTTCCGTCTTTTTTGTGGTCTACGACCCTTATCGCATCCAGTTTATCGCAATTATTATTTAATTATCGATTAATTTTGCACAATTACAAGTCGTTTGCCTGTAGAAGAAAAGAGAATAAAAATTAATTATTTTTAAATTATTTAAAACGAGAACAAGAAACTTGCAAATTTTCCCTCCATCCATAATTTATTAAGCTCTATGCTAGTTGAGTATTTGCCATAAAAAATTTGTCGTCAGTCAATGTTCGTTCGTGTCCACTTGTTTTGCATTTCTTGCCATTATAAAAATATAATATAACGACTTTTGATATCCTTTTCGAAACTATCGCGAGCTATTCTAACGTGTACTTTGAGGACAGCAATTTTTATTTTATTGTCGATGCGAAGGAGAACATGAAAAATTCATTGACTCATTCTGCTAATGTGCGCGAACTATTGCAAAACTCATCCCACTCGCTGAGCAACCCCCACTCGAGTCATTCTCTATTGCCTCTCTCATAGCTAGCTATTTCGCGTTTTTGGCGAGCATGGAAAAGTCACGCGATCGCCAATTTTTTTTATACTCATTCTTCTTCATTTGGCGCGCATTATTATTTTATGAGGAGCTTTTTTTCCTAGTTCAGTGGCGTAGAATTTGACAAATGCTATATACAGCACTTAATATGCAATTATTACTGTTAGAATATGAAACGTTCGGTGTTGCTTTTTTTAATTGCAAAAAAAAATTATGAAAATCCGTCACGACAATGCAATGGATTTAGATTTGCGTTGTGCTAAATTTCTCTTTCTCTCCGTTCTCATTCGGCATGCAATGATGGGGGTTGTAAAACGTAGGAAAAAAAGAACGGAATCCGCAAAATAAATGCCATATATAAGCGCCACAGAGCAAATTATTAATAATTTTTATTGATTACAGTGAGACGGAATAACTTGTAGATACTGTTTTTTGCGCCAATGAGCTCGTTTTGAGTCATTTTATTTCCAAGTGTCATGATGATAGTGATAGAGTTAGTGTTGGGGCCTATTTTTCAAGGTTAAGTGTTCTATACAAGGCAGTTGAGTGGATAGCATGACTATTTAAGCTTTGGAGCTAAGCAGCAATAGCTAAGATACTTCCAAATGGTTCCTACTAAATTCTATCCGCTCATCTGCCAAAAAGACAACATTCAAGGTATGTGGATTAGACTAAAGGGCGAATAATTGATCGAAACCGGTCTTTAATAATATATTTTGATGAGCAGAAATTTAAAATTCAGTTCCGAACAATAAAAGATCTTGCTACATCACTGCCGCGCTATTATTTTTCGCAAAACAGTCCCTTCAACAACAAAATATTTTTTTTTCTCTTCTCAAAAGTTGTTTGACACGCGTATCACCTGTGTGTAATCTTCATATGACGTTATTAATAATTTCATTGAAAAAAAAAATATTGTTTTTGTCTCTTTCATGTGATTATTTTACTCTAGGTTATGTCGTTACATTATCGCAGAATTTTTTTTTTCGCCGATTTTTTTCTTCTCTTCCTTATCTCGTGTAAATTTTGTGTTTTTGTGAAATATTTTTTAACCTCAACTTTGTAAAATGTTTTTATTTATTTTTTTTTTCTTTGTTCTTGTGTGTAAGGTCTTTATCAACAACTTATTGAATTGTGTAACCGCACATACCTCAGCTCATTAGAAATCCCATACATATCCATCAGAAGGTTTTGTTATTTTTTTATATTTTGATATTGAAACGAAAACACTGTAAGTGATAAAACTCTTAATTCTCTTCTCTCTTTTTTGCGGCTTATTATTTTTTTTATATAATTGAGAAAGAACGAGAAAAAAATATTTTTTTTTTGTCTACAGAATTTTTTTTTGCACTGTAAAGAATTAACAAATAATTGCGAAAACAATACACGATAATCTTATCAACTACCAATTAAATTTATTTTTTAAAACACACTTATGGCTAAAAATGAACTTTAAACTTTTCTTGTTGATTGCAAAAAATATATAAAAAAATATATATAAAATTTATTCCCTGAGTTTTCGAGTCAACAAAACTACTGAACGACTAAAAACACACTATTTTACATCAACATTTTACGCATAATTTTTTTTTCCCTGTGGCTGTTTACACACTGACTAAAAAATATGTTTATCGCGCGCTGAGAGCAGAGCCAAAGCTTTTTTTTTTTTTATTTTTTTGAAGAAGTGAGAAATTATTTATTTTTTTCTTCACATTTCGTTACATACGTTCTTTCAGTGCGTGATAGCAAAATTACATCGGATGTTTTTAAACTAGAATTTTTTATTTTATTGTGAAATTTTTATATTTCGGCTGTTCTTTGAAGCGAAAAAACGATGATGCAATGTTGTAATGAAATGGGACTTTGACTCTTTCTACGATTTTGAGCATAGATGTGTGATTTGATGATTAATTTGGATGTTTTGTGATTTTTTTGACTAAAATTTTTTCGGATTGATCGCATAAAATCGTTCAGTTAAGAAAAATTTAAAAATTTAATCTCTGTTGAAAATTTGAATTAAAAAATTCCCTTAAAATTTTGCAAATTAAATTTTCCACTAGATTGTAAAAAATCGCCGTCATTATGAAATTCCCAGTCAAAACAATTAACGCATCTTCGAGATTTTCATTCATAAAAAAAATCAAGCCTTTTGGAAATTTCCACAATCTCAATGCTCAAAACCCTATCAAGTCTCAAAATATTTTATTGTCAATGACTTTCAATTTTTTAATCACTCTGCTGCACATTGAAATTCAAGATAACAAATAAAAAATTATCACATTCAATTCCTAATCTTTTTCAAGATTTTGCAATAAGTCTCAAAAAATTTTGCAAAGAGAATTTACTTTTAAAAATAGCTGAGCTTAAAAGGTCGCGTATGAAATGAGGCATTAAAAACATGGACACATATTCTGCGAAAAACATATTCGTAATCATTATCTAGAATCACTCAAAAAAACAGAAGTGACAACAAAATTAAGCAACTTGAGAATTTCTAAAAGATAATTGAGGGACTCGGAGGGGTTGTGTGAAGACAAGCAGAAATTTTTATGAAAAAAACAGCACAGAAATGAGCAATTTCCGGTTTCGTGGAATAGATTTTAATACATTTAGGAAGGAACAATTATTTTTAAACATAGATGCCCGCATTTATATGCTTTGAGGGGTGTAAACTGCAATTTCTTTTATTTTATATTTCTAAAATGCACCTTAACTTACCTGTTTTCTTTTAATATCTCGAACTAATCCAAATATAGGCTCGCATCAACTTAATTCTCTCTCTTTGCAAGTTTTTTTTCAATAAATTTTTTCACTAAAATATTTTTGCTATTCTCAATTTTTTTTTTTGTTTTGTTCCAAAAATTGTTTTTTTAAATTAATTTAACAAATTTTTTAATTACTATTAAAGGCACTAAATTACACATGATTACCACTCTCTCTCTCCTCACATATTTCACACCAAATTATTATAGTTTTTATTTTATTTTTATATGAAAAATTTCTCAGCAGATAAAGTAAAGTTTTTTTTTTAGTTCCACTCTCATTCGATTTTCATTGCGTACTGTACTACTATTTGGATTTATGTTAAGGCTGCGTAAAAAAAAATTTTTTTTCTCCTAATATCGGTCGATGGTGCCAAAGGCTGGTGGATTTTTGTCTGTTGTGGTAAAATTTTTTATTTTATTTTGTCTTCTTCTTGTTCGTATTCACTGCATCTATGTGTATGACTTATAAAAAAATTATGATTTTTTTTATGTTGTAAGAGAACCGCTGTCTTACGAACTTACAACAACAAATCTCGATGCACAACTGACATTGTACAAAAATTCACAAAACATAGAGGAGAGAAGAAAAAAAAATTCACCGTCTGATGCGAAGACTTTCAACACATACATTGATAGACTTTATACAACGTCACATTGATCGGGTAGAGAAAGAAAAGCGAAGCGATCCAACTGATAAATGGCTAATATTGCATTATGTTTGTTGCACTCTGCTTGTGTTTGTGCATTTTTTGCTTTTTCTTCTCTCTCTATTTTGTGTATTTTTAAACCTATAAGCAGAAAGGGATGGAAAATCCATATCAGCATATTTGCTTCGATGCTATGTCGCATGTATTGGTAGAAAAATTTATTTTATGTTTTTTAAAAAATGCGTAATGTTATGTGATGATCCATGCCATATTACCAATACATGCAGAAATGCCTTTTTTTGGAAATTATATTTTTATATTTTTTTTTTAATAAAATAAAAAGCCAAAAAATGCACTAGATGCTTTTTTCACGCATTAAATTGTGTGGGGAAAAAACGAGTTTGAATTATGCTTTGGAGTGTGGCTAGGCAGCATTTTAGCACATTCTTAGGAACAAATAGAATTAAAAAACTTTTTTTCAAGCTTTGTTCAAAAACTGTGAAATTTGAACTATTTTTAAAATTTACTGATGAGTGTCTGAGACTTGGTCCTTGTTTATTTCTAACAACACAAGACCAGGCTAAGTCGGGAATCATTCTCTTATGACGTCCGTCAAAAACATGATTTTTGTCACAAAAAAATCATTTGCTTGAGCTGTCACGAAATCCTAGACCTGCCCCCCCCCCCCCAATCTAGGACGCCCTCGTCAACTTATTCATATTCGGCACACCACTTGATCATATTTTAACCTAGGTTAAATCTGGTTAATGTTAAAATTCTGGCTTTATTCCTTATTTTGAGGTGTTTTACAAAGGATATACAATTCTTGATATTTTAGAATTTTAACGCACAGCTCCATTAGCTTAGATTACATTCTTAATATTTTATTAAAGTACCGCAAATTCTATTCCGTAAAGAAACACATTCTATATTCTGATTATATCAGAGAAATGTGGTTTTCCCGGTTTTCCAATATTTTGCTGATTCATATTTAAATTTTTGACTCAAAGATGAAAATGATGAAATGCATTAATGGTTTTATGATATGAATTTATAAATTAGTCACCATCAAAAATTTCGTCCTAATTGCAAAGCATTGACTGCAAATAATTGACTAATTGTTTGCCACTGAATCAATTCATTATGTTGCACAATAATTTTTTTTTGCACAATATGAATCCCTCAAAGGAGTCGTTCATAAATGTTGTCAATCAAAAAGTCTCCTTCTCACCTATGTCATATTTTAACGTGGTGTCACACCCTTCGCCTCCCCTTCCTTAACCCAAAAGTTGAAAATCATTAATGAACGACCTTAGTTCTGAATTCTAGATTTAATTAAAAATGTTTTAGCAAAATGGGATCGTTCATTAATGATGTTCAAAAATTACGATCATTTTTTTTTAAAACAGACAAATTGTTTCAAGAAGTTATAGTGTTATAGAGCTATTTATCTGTGTGACGTCATTTATGAATGACTCCAATGCAAAATTTAATAAAAATCATCAAATGAAAATAAAAAAAAAATATAGTTTATCACCATGCATGCACCAATACGACAAAATAGGGATAATACATTTTCAAAACTAAAATAAATGATACGCTAAAAAATGCTTCATCCAGACACATGTGGTGGGGGTAAGAAAAAAGTATTATGCGTGTATACAAAAAAAATTTCTAAAATTTTGTGTCTCGGAGACGATGCAGAACACACTTTAGCCAGTGTTTAAAGACAATAAGAAGGAGGTAAAAAGAAAGGATTTTGTTGTTATTATCGAAAGGGATGGCAATTTTCCTTTTTTTTACACAATAAACAATAATAGCTTCAAAGGATTATGCGAAAATTTATGCAATCCTTTTTTGAGGTCATAAACATGCAATTTTTTTGTTCCATAAAATCTCTATGTCTTTATTGTTTATGCCAAATATTTCCTTTTTCAT